CCCCGCCCGGCCCGTCTCCCGGGATCGCGCAGGTTTCGCGCGGAGTGGTGGCGGAAGGTCGGGGCCTGCCCGGACCCGGGGAGCTCGCCCTGGAGGGGATCTCTCCCCGGGAGGGCGGGGACCGCAGGCAGGTGCGGGAATCCCGGCCCCTCTACACTCTCGGCCCGGCGGGGCGCCCGCGGGCGGGAGGAAGGAACGGCGAGAGGGCGGCCGGGTGTCCAGCGAACCCAGGCGGCGCCCCGCGGACGGGCGGGCCCGACCTTTGGGTGGTTTGTTTTTCTCCTTTAAAGCGAGTCGGGAGGAAAACGCCCAGCCAGGCCCGGCCTCTCCGTGTGGGCGCGGGCAGCCGTGCTCGGGCGTCTCCCAACCACGTCTCTCCTCCTCCCCAGGAGTCATCGGACTGGTGGCCTTGTACCTGGTGTTCGGTTATGGAGCATCGCTCCTCTGCAACCTGATAGGATTTGGCTACCCAGCCTACGTCTCGTAAGTGGTCACCCCGCAGTCGTTCCGTCCCCTTCGCACCCCTCTCCCCATCCAGGGCTGGACAGCGGACCTGTACTTTCCCCCCAAGAGAAGCAGTAGTCCAGACAGTAGTCCCGATCGCTTCTGGTTACACATTTTGGAGCTTTAACTTGATCCCTGTTCTGCCGACTAGCCCAAGGTATTTTTCATTACGTTCTCACGGAAGAACAAGTAGTGTTAGAGCTCCGTTCTCCTGCCTTTTTAGGTGGGGAGATCGCAACAGGTATCTATACACAGGGAGCTGACCGTGTCTTCCTGGTTATTTTAATGGATATTCCCACATGTGTTTGTGTCCACAGACAATAAATGCCTATACATTAGACCTTCCCAAATACAAAATCATGTTAATTTAGTCAAAGGAGAAGAATATTGACTTTTTGATTTTTAAGATCATAAGATCTTACAGACTAATTTGAAAAAAATGCTTACTCTTAATAAGCCTTACAAAATGCATCCATAATGTAGCTCCTTGGTCATATAAATGATTCATTTATATAATTAGATTTAAAATGAATTTTATATGATTAGGTTATAGTGAAGTGGTTTTTGTTTTACGATATGTTTATTTTGTAATACTCTACAATTTCTCACGTCTAATTTGTTCAAATGAAATTATTCTTTTAAACAGCTCAATTTTGTTTTATACTACTTCAGGTTGAAAAGAGCTTTTACCTTCCCCAGCACTACGTACTATTGTACCATATGGGTTTTATGTGTATTCTGAGAGTTTCCCAGGGCAGAACAGGAAACTGGTTTGGCTTCCAGATCTGGTAAATGTAAAAGAGTATCAGTTTTCCATAAAATTTAATCTACTGTTAGATGGTATATATATTTTAGGTATTTTGGTTTTGAACTCAAGAGTCTTGCACTAGCTAATCGATACTCCACCACTGAGCCACTCCAACTTTTTTTGCATTTGTTATTTTTGAGATGGAGTCTAGTGTTATGCTTAGGCTACCCAGGACCGTGATACACTTTATGTTTCCCTTATCATTGGGGTGATACCATGTATAGCCAATGGTAGAGCTGGGGTCTTGCAAACATTTTTTTTTTCTGGTCCTTGGGCCTGAACTCAAGGCCTGGGCTCTGTCCCTGAGCTGCTCTGTACTCAAGGTTGCACATTACCATTTGAGCCACAGCGCTGTTTATGGGGTACTGAGGAATCAAACCTAGGGCTTCATGCATTCTAGGCAAGCACTTTACCACTAAGCCACATTCCCAGCCCTTGCCAACATTTTTACCTTTTTCCCACCCAGGCTAGACCAGCTGCCCCTTCTCTGCTTCTGGCATTTTGTTCAAAGTAGCTTGTACAACCCCTTTGTACATTGCCTTTATAACAATACAATTTTTTTAAAACCCTTCAAAATGAAAGGGATGACATCAATCAAGATACATAATGTTCACAAACTGATTTGTTGAATGATACCTCCTTTGAACAACTATTTAAAGATAATAAAAAAGTAAAGGTGCAAAAAAAAAAACAAACCCAACAACCCAGCTTGTTACATTATTGTGTCTGTGCTGACAGACAAAATAACCCAGCAGTACATTCATTAATTTGCCTCTTTTTGTGTATGTACTTAAAGTTCTTTTAGAAAGGCTTTGAAACAGTAAAAAATTTTTCTTTAAGTCACAAACACCTTTTAATCTTCACAATGATAGTCATCATGAAACTTTTTTTT